ATTTTTCTCTCTTTTGTGCTAGTTTTATTTTTACATTTTTCTTGCTATTCAATATGTTTGTAACAATTAGGAATTTTATTGCTTTGCAACCCCCATTTGTAAATTTGTATACCCCATCCCCAATGATGTAATAGCTTAGGATTTTACTTTCCGCAATTTACCGCTTTTATATATAATTTGCTAGTAATTAGGGTGTGTATGGAAAGATTTAAAATCAACAAGTAGACAATCCTAATTCAAGACTAAAATGCATGCAATCAAACACACTATTCACACACGTGCACCTCTAGGGTAACCTCGCTTGGTGCCTCGGAAAATAGTCATGTCCCTCGAATATGGGTGTTTTAACAAAGACCCTTGATAAAAAATATCATAGTCCCTCGATGTTGCCTTCTGTAAATGATCTAGTCCCTTACAAAAATTGCTAAAACGTGTCATAAGTTGCCTTCTATGACTACACGATTGACCCACGTCCGTCCCTTCACATCCAATGATGGGGCTTCTTACCAAATCAATGGTAAGATAGCAACATCTAAAGGATGAGGAAAATAACATAGAACTTTTGAGTAGGGAGGACGCTCGTAGTTGCTTGCTCACAAATTAAAACCATTTCCACACTTACACATTCAAAACATCTTTAAAAAACATCTCTTTGAACTATTTTCAAAACCAACACTTTGTACGCATTCTTATAGAGACGAGAATCATTACAAAGTTTTCCGAAACAAAGGAGTTTTCAAAATACTTTCAAAAGCCACCACAAGACACATTTCAAACAAAGCAATTTCAAAAGTGATCTAGCAAGCAACTAAGAGCCCGTAGATAACTACATATGAAAAGGGTGCTAACACCTTCCCTTTTCATAACTTACCCCCCAAAATCACGAAAATATCTCAAAGGTCTTTCGCGTTCTTTTAACCCTTTCCTTTATTGGATAAAAGAAAAGTCGGTGGTGACTCTTACTATCTGCAACATTTGCGATCAAATCCAAAACACCCAAGTCAGTTCTCCCACCATATTATAGACATCCGTATTATTGATCACGGTAGGGAATTCCATAATGTGCCACTCCTTGGAATAAGGGGAGGTAACACTTACAAACCTTCTCTATCTCTACATCATTTTGGTTATGCTCGAAGAGACGGTCCTCATGATATGTTTATCCAGGGTATTATATTCGACTACGAGAATGATCTTCAAGGTTATCGTCAAAGGTTTATCCGTGCTTGGGGCATGATCAATAAGATTTATAGCAAGAATTTGGGGCATAATAACTCCATCCCTTGGGATCCGTACCTCATATGGGTGCGGTCTCGTGCTCAAAATCTTATAATGCCATATCCTGCTGTCCTACCAGTAATTACGGTGCCTGTTGTTAAAGGAGATGTTTCTCATACCATTCTTCATCCTGATATGCCTAATGACTTTGAAGAACTACAAAAGTCCTGGATTCTACTCAAAGAAGAAAGGGATACCTTTGAGGCTCAGTTTTACGCTAGTGAGAAGAAAGTATTGGAGTTGACGAAATGACTCCATAAAGAGTAGGGCCTTAATGCATATGTCAACACAAAGAGGAAGCGTCCATGGGAGACTTAATGCATTTGGCCTTAGGAGTTTCATAATTAAACTATCTTATTTTCATTGTAAGACTAAAAGGCAGTTATATTTGATCTTATTACTAAGTTTCTTTGTTTCCTTTTGATTAACAAATTTAAATCTCACGATGTCCTTGAAAACATTGCATATGCATATACATTTACATATCATATCATTGCATAACAGGTATTCTCAAGACAAGTTTTCTCATCTTCTTGCTGTTTATTTCAGCAGAAATGGCTCTTGAACAGACTGTCAAAGACTCCAAGCTCATAACGCCTAATTCTAACAGATGTTCCTGAACTTAGCCAAGGGGAAGGAATAACTGAAGGCACTCATCACCAAAGAGAAGAATAAAAAGAAAAAGAAATCAATCAATGTCCTTAACATGGGAAGAGGTTCAGGGGTCCAGTCAAGCGAGTTCAAGATCCCGATACTCCATTAGACGAAGACGACGAACAAGATAAAGATGATAAGAGTGGTGAAACTGAAAAAAGCAACCATGGTCCTGCCAAATACTCTGATGAAGAGGAAAAAGATTATTTGAATGAACAATATCCCCCTGCTGATGAAAAATACAAGCAGGTAGAAGATCGTCTAAATGCTATGGAGAACCAGAAAGTGCCTGAGTTGGATTTTGAGAATTTGGGTTTAGTCTTAAGAGTTGTTATTCCTCATAAGTTCAAGGTCCCCACTTTTGCAAAGTATGACGGTATTTCCTGCCCAAAGCTTCATTTAAGGTCATATGTCCAGAAGATTCAACCACACACTGCTGACAGGAAGTTATGGGTGCACTTCTTTCAAGAGAGCTTGTCTAGAACACAGTTGGAATGATTCTATCAACTAGAAGGGACCAATATCTATACCTTGGAAGATTTGTATGCTTCTTTCTATAAAAAATACCAGTATAATGCTGATCTTACACCAACCCATATGCATTTATAGAGTATAACCATGGACTCTAACGAAGGCTTTAAAGAGTATGCCCAGAAATGGAGAGATCTAACAGGAAGAGTTAAACCTCCCTTGTCTGATAGGGAATTGGTTGACATGTTTATAGGAACTTTGACAGGTCTTTTCTTTAATCATCTGATTGGAAGCTCTTCAGTTGGGTTCACCGAGTTGATATTAATAGGGGAACATGTTGAAGGTGGAATCATAAATGGAAAAATTCAGGTGGCTATTGTAATAAACCTAACTTGTCCTACCCTTTAAGAAGGATCATCTGGCTTATGCATCATCATATACATACCTTTCATTAGGTCATTTAACATTGCATACATTCACTAACAATATAACTTGGCAGGGGATCGAGAATCTTCAAGAATTAGGATTTCAATATTGGTTTTCAGTAGAGATTGCTTTAAGATAGGGATTGTTTCCTCTTCGCCATTTCAAGCCTCATCATCCATATCCAAGAGTTCTTTAAGGAATTTACATTGTGTGCTCCACAAGTCAATATATCTTTGAAGATTGAAGTGCAAAAGCATTTGAGTTATGATACAAAAATGAAGAGGTGAGTTCCTTGTGATTAAAGCATTGTTGTCCTCTCAATTGCTTATTGCTTGTAGAGAAATATAATATGGATTTGAGATCGAGGTTAGGATTTTTAACAAGAAGGAAATTTGATTTAGGTTTTTGTTCATTAAGAATTGAAGTCAATTTGGATTCGTCGGAACTACTAATTATGCTCAAGATTAATATTAGCTCAAGGTCTCAATTTCATGATTTGGCAATGGTTGATTCAAGATAAGGTTGGAAGATTCGTTCATGTGGTTCTCTTGGTGTACAAGTTACGAATTTGCAAAGGATTACAAGTCATAACATCATTCAAGGTTATTCATTTAGTTTTGTTCATCAAAACTCACCAAGATCTAAGGGTTCACGTTAATTCAATGATATGATCTTTACAAGTTCTAAATATCACGCATGATTTGTCAAAGGGTTATCCAAATTCATTCACATTCATTCTAGGTCATAACCATGCAATTTACAAGCTATGTTATTGGAGCATTACAAGAGAAATTACAAAGGCCATTTACATCCAAGATTACTAAATCAAAACAAAAATTTACAATAAATCTTCAAGTGGCCTAAACCTAAAGAGTCCCAAATTCCAGGTCTCCATCATTCATTTCTAAGCTTATTCATCTTCAAGCCATTATCTTCCAAGACTGCTTTATTTCCACTTGGTTATGTCCAAGCCTTAGTCTATGTTTCATGCCAAAAGAAAACCTGCATAAATGACCATTTTCCAAACAACTTAAGTACCAATGTATAATCAAACGAATTCAATTTGAAGTACAAAAATCAGCATATACCTACAATTACACCAAGTGTTATGTACTTAAACCAAACCAGTTTATCACACTCATAACACATACACTACACTCACAACTGAATTGACCATATACAACCCTATACGCTTCAGGTTTTTAGTCAAGATTAAGTGGACTTTACCTAAGTACTAGAGTATAAACTGATTCCAGTCATTCTTCACTATGCCCTGCATCAAGAAAATAACAGCACATTCACTTCAAACTGGAAAATAAACAAATCTCAAAACATGTCAACTTCATGTCATGACCAAGTGTAAGTGCTCGTACCAGCCACCAAATTCCAGACTTGCATTCATCAATAACCAAAGGAAAATAGAAAAATAAGAGAAGAATCAAATTATTACCGAGCCTACACTATCTAAGTCAGCTACATATTGTATTCTTCCTACACTTTCACTTTATTTTTTTCATTTAGACTCATACTAACAATAACAAATAAAATAACAAACCTCTATGCCATCCAAATCCTAACAAAAATAACTAATAGATTTCAACCAATTTCCAAACAGAATTTTCTAATTGTTTTCAACCAACTTCCTAACTAACAAAATTTTTCTATAACTGACATCAACAAAAAAAACAGAGCTCTAACTGTCCTAACTAATTCTGTAACAAACTCTATCACCTATAACATAAAACCTTCCTAGTTAACTATGCTAATAGAACCTTTGACAAACCTTCAAACTAACTTAGCCCAACTAACCAAAGCAGTTACTAACATAATCCAAAATCTATAACAAACTTTTTCAACCTCTAATAGTTTATTACCAGATTCATAACATATTTCAGAGTGAGGATTAAGACAAATAGAATGATTCACGATAGATTATCAGAAATTCACAGAGAGAACTAACCTTCATTCAATTCATTCTTGATTCTCCCGAGAAGAATCACCAAACACCTTCCACCATCTTCTCTCTGCTTTATTCACTGAACACCTTCCATAATTCTTCATTCTCTGAAGAATCTCCATCAAAACCTTCATCCTCTTCTTTTCTTACTCTTCATTACCATAACCAAATCCACTTCATTATCTTCCTCAATATGCTTCTTCTGATATCATGTTCAATCACCATAATCAGTTCTTCTTGAGGCTTCATCAACAACCGCATCTTCTTCATTCATCACTTCCACTGCATTGCAATAAAGCTCGCCTTTAAGAACTACTGCATCTTCATCACCGTCGTGCATCACATCACATTTCTTCGCTTCTGAATAAACAATTGCAACGGTTTTTTAACCTTCATCGCAACACACATACGCGAAGATAAGAAGAAAAAATAAGAATCAAATCGATTGAAAAGAAGAGGAGAATCAGAAGATATTACCTGATTTTCTCGACCACTTTGTCGAGGTTTTGCTTCCGATTTCATAGTTGTTTGAGTCCGGTTCAAAGAAGATGAGAATAACAAAAGTCTTGAATGTTCTTGGTGGCGCTGTTGATGTCTCGATCGAAGAAGAAGATAACAAAGAGATGAGAGACAGAGGCATGGCGGCTTCCTGAATGGTCACGACGGTGGTTGATTAAGAGCTAATCCAAGGAGAAGGCTAGAGATTTGAACACCGCGGCTGAAGAAGAAGATACCCTAAGCTGAAGCAAACCTTGTGTCGTTATTTTGCCCTAATTTTATTTATTTCTTTATTTTTTATTATTAATTGATTCAACAACATGATTGTTGATAATTGGATCAAGGGTGGACCGAGCCATTGACTCCTTTTGGCCCATTCTATATTTTTCTTTGACATAGAAGCACAACAAAAAAACTGATGGACTTAATCTATTGGGCCTTAGCGCCACTTTCTAAGCTCACCATTTAATTCAGACCTTGCACCCCCTGGCTCTCTTAGTCTTATTTTCATCACCTTTTAGTTTTTACTTTCTTTTCCATAGTTTTATAATAGAAATACCTGATAAAACAATAAAAAGATGTTAATATAACTCTTTGGAAATTATTTTTAGAATTTTGATTAGAGTTTTATTATCATTTTTATGTTTGCAAAGCATTTGGTTGCCTTTGTTGTTGAGAGTTTATGACAGTATTGAGGAAAATCTTTTATGATATGGGATGCTTGGAGATTAATTCATTTGATCACTTGTGCGAAGTGGCTTATGTAGAGTTTTATTATCGCTTGCATGGTTTTGAAGAAGCAATGGGCCTTCTCTGTTGGGTATCATCGTGACTTCATTTTATTCTTCATTTCCGCACTTTATCGTATTTCTTTACTGCTTTATGATGCCATAAGAAGTAGGGTAGATATGTATGACGGGTATCTCCGCTTCTGATCATGTCAGGAATCCCTCTGGTTTATTTAAAGACCCATTTAGTGCAATTCCGCATTGTGTGCATTCTGTTTTCTATTTGTGGTTGTTTAAAACCATACCTTTGAAGTAGGTATTCCATACGTATGTTTAAATTTGTGCTTGTATAGCGGGATGATGATTTTAGGTCCTTTTATGGAAACGATTCCTAAGTACTCATGGGAAGGCAAGTGTAAAGGGTTAGCAATTAACCCCCACCAATTTTCGTCCGTGTCGTTCCTATGCTCACTTTTTGCAAGTTCCAAGCTCTGAACATATTCCCAAGATCATGTATATCGAGTCGTCAAGTGGGGAAGGGTTTTGCAATCAAACCCCCACACTTTGTCAGGAGTTCGCATTGGAAGATACTGACACTCTGTAATCATTCATATTGTCTTATGTCGCCTACCTCGATCTTCTATATCTTGGTTAGGTATTTACCCAAGTTAGTGTGTGCTACTCGTGGCATGTGTGTGCTCTTTCAAGCTTGCTTGTTTATTCACTTTCCATACCATGTTCCCTTAGGATGTACTTGTTCCTTTCAGATGCAATTTAGACTTTAGGTTGCAAACCACACATGCTAACATTAGGTAGAGATTTCCATTTCATCCTTGACGTAGGGCCATCATTGTATGATAACATTAGGTTAGAAATAGGCTAGTCCCCTATAGACTCTTTTCTTCCTCTTTTGCATATGCATTTAAAACTAAAACTTTGTTTTTCTTAGCAAATCAAAAACATGTTAATCATACAAAAACCCTTTTTCAAAGTAACAACGTACAAACCAATCAAATGTGGCATCTTGCCTTGAGGGTGTAACTTAAAACCTTTTTAGGTATAGATATGTTAATATACTTCTATGCCAACGCATAGTCTCCAAAGGCTGAGCTGCGGAAGAAGGCAGAATTAGCATTATTCATAAAAATACAAAACAAACAAAACATGTGAGCCGAAGTACGATAACTTTGATTCCTCAAAAAGGATACGTAGCCATTGGGGTAGGGCCCAAGCGAGCACAACTTTATTTTCCCTACATTATTTTCTCTTTTCATTTGCATGCATTCTTCCTCCGTAGTAAGCAGTAAGCATAAATTAAACACACCCACAAGATAGATAACAAGAGTGGATACCATAGAGTACTACGGGCGTGTGGGGTGCTAATATACTTGGTCTAACAAATTTCTTCTCAAGTGAATCTTCTAGTTGTTTCTTCAATTCTGCTAATTCAAATGCTAACATTTGATAGGGTTCCATAGAAACAGGTTTGGTCCCCGGAACAAGATCAATATATAACTCTACTTCTCTCTCTAGCGGCACATCTGTAATATCATCTGTGAAAACTTCAGGAAATTCATGCACCACTATTAATGAAAACACCTGAGCTTCATCTTGCATCATTTCATTCAACTGTCTAGCAGATAAGATTTCAGTTCCCCTTCCCCATCAGGAGCGGAAAACTGCACTGATTTTTTATAATAGTTTAAATGAACATAATTGTATTCCAACCAGTTCATGCCTAGAATAAGGTCCAAACCGCTCAATGGTTAACACATTAAATCCACAACAAAGTCTCTGTCGAAGATCGACAAAGGGCACTTTGAACATACAAGAGAAGTAGTCATTGACCCCTTAGTTTGAGTATCGACAACCATCTCTCCATTCATACAAGATAACACAAGACCCAACTTTTTCACACAATCAGCAACAACAAAACAATGAGTAGCACCAGTACCAACAATAATAATTATAGGAGTACTATTAATGAAGCAAATACCTCTGATTAAATTGTCTCCACTGGATGTCTGAGTTTTAGCTAAAGCAAAAACTTTCCACCAGTTTGAGCTTTCTTCGGTTTCTAGCACTGAGTACTGATGTATCCCTCCTCACCACAATTGAAACATATCATTGCCTTGTATCTGCAATCAGCTACCTCATGCCCAGTCTTACCATAACAAAAACACCTCTTCACTTCTCCAGTACATGAATTACTTTAATGACACAGATTCCTACATTTGTAACACACAACATCAACAAGTGCACCTCCCCCACTGGTTCTCCTACCATAAACAACCTTCTGTTTTCCTTTGTCATTTAGAGAATTGTAAGGCTTCCGACGATTCTGTTATTGTCTCCCTCTTCATTCAGTTATGGTTTTGTAGTGAGCCTTACTATCCTCTTCATAAACTCTGCAACTATTCACCAAATCCGGAAATTTACAGATCGGCTGCTACCCAATTTCCTTCTTGATTCATGAGTGCAACCCATTTTCAAACTTGATGCACTTTGAAAATCTAGTAGTTTCCTCACTGTAAAGAGGATAATAGTTCACCAATTCCACGACTTGGCAGCATATTCAGTCACCGATGATTCTCCCTATTTCAGTTCTAGAAATTCAATTTCTTTCTTCCTGCAAACATCGTTTGGATAATACTTCACCAGGAACTCTCCGTGAAACACAAACCAAGTAATAACCTCACCTGCACCATCCAATCTTTGACGAGTGGAAACCCACCAGTCATCAGCCTTCCCTCCAGCATATGCATACAAAATCGCACTTTCTGTGCCTCAAAATAGTCTGTAACCTAAAAGATCCTTTCAATTTCTTTGAGCCACTCTTGCACTCCTTCAGGATCATGCTTCCCTTTGAACGTTAGTGGATGGTTTCTCTGGAACGTCTCTAAAACATGAGATCTATTGACCCTGCCAACATAAGGATGATGTTGTACAACCTGAGCCAACGCCTGTAAAGTAGCAAGTGCAATATCGTTTCTTTCAGCCATTACTCTGTTTAACATCATAACATCAAAACAAGGGTTAGAAAGAAACACATCAACAATATTCAACTGTCATACTATACTACTGACTCAACAACCTGTCCAGACGGATCGACCTGCTTTGATACCAAATTGTAACACCCCACTTTCCTTAATAATAATTATAACATTATCTAAGGAATACATATATCAGAGTACAAAAGTAGGATGTTATACCTTTCAAAATTCATAAAATATCAAGTCACTTTATTACTCCATTTATTCAAAATAATTGATTCGGCAGCAGAATAATCAAATTAGTTCATTTCCATGGCATTGAAGCCTCAATAATAATAAAAAATTCCACATCTTGTGGTCCAACATCAGTATAAAAGTCAGATACGTAATAAATGAAATAATGCAAAAACATACTTTCCCAATAATCATGTGTTATGTATCAGAGTGACTCCTAATACTCGATCAGGTAACACTCTCTCCAAGAACTACTCTGGTACCTGGTTATCTCTACTCCCCGAGGAGCACAACAAAATACCATAAAAGGGGTGAGAATTACATTCAATAAATATACAGTGAATGTCACATGCTAAGGAGTAGTAATTCACACAATTCACACATCACACAATACTTCACAACTGTTACCTTAAAATTTCTTTAAGGCATTTATTGCATTGTTAGTAGGGCAACCCCGTGAATTGAAAGGAAAGTTCCTTCTAGGAGTAGGGACTTTAAGGAGATTAGAGTCAATAAAATGATAGCTATAAAGTTCTTATAAAGAATTAAAGGGAGATCGATGAACAAAAGAGCAAGTAGTCGACAGAGACAATAATAAGCCAGTCGATTTTAGTTCCGTCAACAAGAATGGAATCCAAGACTTAGAGAATTTGGGTTATTTTCCTACAACAATGGTTGATGTCTGTTGTACCCCAAAATTTTCCCTCCCTTTTCTTCAAGACATTTCTCACAAAGGATCTCAGATGCTCAAGGATTCTCAAAGAGTTGATCAAACAAGCTCACCTCCTAAGCAATAAGACCACAAATTAGGGTTTTGGTTTTCACAAGGAAAATTGGACTTCTAATGCCTCAAATGACTTTCATGGTTCATCATAGACCTCCAGCAATAGCCAGTGATTTATTTTCCCAGACAAAGATACTGCACGGGTTTACAAGTACACTTCAACAACATTTCACATTCATACGACATAGCATATGCATACGAAACACATATAACAGTCTCATTTATTTTGAGAAATCTTCATGCAATGCATTTCATACATCATGACATTGCATACAACTAACTCTTAAACTTTTCAGGAAAGATAAATCAACAGACGAATACCTCCAACAATTCACAAATAGGTCAAAGATTAATTCCCGAAACAAGACGGGACAACTATCTACAAGACCAGGTTAGAGATTAA